CTCCTCCCTTTCTTGCGGATGAGGACAAGAAGTCGGCTGCAAAGGGGGGGGGGGAGAAGCAGGGGATGGACAAGGGGTGAGGAGACCGAGAAAACTAAGGAGGGTGCGGGAAGGGAGGGAGGGAGGGAGGGAGGAGAGGAGGGAGGGAGGGAGGGAGGAGAGGGAGGAGGAGGAGGGGAGGAGGGAGGAGGGGGAGGGGTGAGGAGGAGGAGGAGGAGGAGGGGAGGAGGAGGAGGAGGAGGAGAGGAGGAGGAGGAGGAGGAGGAGGAGGAGGAGGAGAGGAGGAGGAGGGGAGGGGAGGAATGGGAGAGATGCGGAGGGGAGGGGAGTGATGTGGAGGAGAGGGGAGGGAATGGGAGAGATGGGAGGGAGGGGAGGGGAGTAGTGGAGAGGGAGGGACCGAATGAGAGTGACGGGGAGGGCAGGGGAAGGGAGGGGAGGGGAGAGGAGGGGAGGTGGGTGAAGCTAGGGTGGTACGTGACGCGATGCTGAAAAAAAGAAGTGGGAGAACAGGAAAACGAACAGGAATACCAGTAAACAAAGGTGAGAAAGAGGACGAGACTGCAAAGGGGAAGGAGAGAGGAGTCGAAAAATGCGCGGTAAGAGGAAGACGTAAATTAAGTCGAACAAGGAAACGGAAAAAAGAGGAACATACATAAAGATGATACAAAAAGGAGGAGGAGGAGGAGGAGGAAAATGAGGAGTAGGAGAAGGAAGAAGAGGAGAAAAGCCTAGAAGAGGAGGAGGAAGAAAAAAAAAATAAAGCAGCACAAGAAGACAAACAAGAACAAGAAGAAAAAGAGCAAGACCAAGAATAAAAGCAAAAAACAAAACAAAGAACCAAGACGATCCGTATCTATTCGAGTCCCACGCTGGGAAAAGCGAAGCTACGGCCCAAAAATCCCTATCTCGCGGACAATACTTCCCACGAAGCAACCAACCAACCAACCAACCAACCAACCAACCGCCGACGCGCAAGCAAGCAAGCAAGCAAGCAAGCAAAGCAAGCAAAGCAAGCGAGAGACTAGAGCCCCAGCCACACCGTACCGCGTGGTATCAGCTCTGAGCGCCGAGTGTGAGGAAAGTTTTTTTGCTCCCCGTTACTGACTCCCGCTCATACTAATTATAGCACCGTGCGACAACTGGCCCCCACGCCACCGCCGCCACCACGGGGGGGGGGATAAAGGGAAGGAGAGGGAGAATAAAACGGGGACAGAGAGATAGAGGGATAGAGAAAGGGATAGAGAGGGAGAAGAGGAGAAAAAGAGAGAGAGGGAAAGGGAGAGGGAGGGAGGAGGGAGAGAGGGAGAGAGAGGAGAGAGAGGAGAGGAGAGGAGAGAAGAGAGAGAGAGAGAGAGAGAGAGAGAGAGAGAGAGAGAGAGAAGAGAGAGAGAGAGAGAGAGAGAAGAGAAGAGAGAGAAGAGAGAGAGAGAGAGAGAGAGAGAGAGAGAGAGAGAGAGAAGAGAGAGAGAGAGAGAGAGAGAGAGAGAGAGAGAGAGAGAGAGACAGAGAGAAACTCGGCATGAAAGAAAAGACTTGCATCGCTCACGCCCTTCCCTTCCTCCTCCTCCTTCCCTCCCCCTTCCTTTCCTCACGCCCTCTCTCCCTCACTCCCGGTCGAACCTGCCTTCATGTCCTCTACTTCCTTCTACCGTTCCTCCTCTTATTTTGGTTTCCTCTTCTGGTCTGAATTTTCCCTTCCCCTACATCTCTTCTTCTTCCTCCTCCTCCTCCTACTACTTCTCCCTCTTCCTCCCTTTCTCCTCCTTCCTCCCTCTTCCTCCATTTCTCCCTCTTCCTCCTCCTTCCCTCCTCCCTCCACTCTGTACTTTAAATTCGGACCTCTTTAAAAGTTTATTTTAGTTTGGGAGTGAAACAAGAGCCTTTGTTGTGAATGTTGCTCGCCCCCTTCTTAGTCTGCCATTCTGCGTCTCGCCCATTCTCTTTCTCTCGTTTATTCCCTTCCCCTTCCTTTTATTCCTCTTGTCTGAAAATTTATACTTGGTGTCGTTCTCGCTTCTCCCCTCCGTTACCCTCCTATCTCTTGTTCTTGCTCCTCTTCCTCTCTCCTACGCATCTTTTCTGTTTCCTCCCCCCCCTTCTTCCCTTCAGCCGCCATAATTTCTTCCATTCTATTAATATGTTTGTGTTTATTTCCCTTGTCTGTTAAATCACCTTCTCTCACACGAGTTCTTCCCCTTGCTCTCACTCTTGTCGTTTCCACTCACTCACTCATATTCAAACATACACACACTCACTCTCTTACTTACTCATTCTTTCCCGTCAACTCCCACCCATTCTCACACACTCTCGCTCTCATTCTCGCTCATTTTCTCTCGTCAACTCTCAGCAATCTCTCTCTCTCTCTCTCTCTCTCTCTCTCTCTCTCTCTCTCTCTCTCTCTCTCTCATCTCTCTCTCTCTCTCTCTCTCTCTCTCTCTCTCTCTCTCTCTCTCTCTCTCTCTCTCTCTCTCTCTCTCTCTCTCCCTTCACTTGACGTTTTCTGTTGCCTTTGCCCTCTCGTTTTGAACACATTAGTCTAACCTCTCATTCCTTACCATGTGCCGCTCGCCGTCCCATCTTGCCCATGTCCCTTCCTGAGTCACGTGTCGCTAAGTCCTCTTGCTGCACAAGTCACACATGCTCCGTCATCTCCCACCTTTTCCCTCGTTATTGGCACACTGTAACGCAACGCAACCTTCCCATCGGCCTCCTGCCTTGTTCCGCACACTACCCACACTGTCCCTTCCTTCTCGCCGGGTCACTCTGCTCCAGTATGCTAATTCAAGAGCAGAGTCAGGACTCGGGGGGAGCCAGGAGTCAGCGCCTTTAGTTCCTGGTTTGGTCAGCACTGGCCACGTCGCGACAACGGCTCCTCCTAGGCCCCCCTAGGCCTCGGCAGACAACGCGTTGGTTGGCGCGACGGTCGCTGGGAACGCCGTAAGTTAAACTGGAGTCAGCACGCCCTGGCACCGCCGCTCAGCATCAACGCCGTGCCGCACGTGGGTCAGGGGGATAGGCGCATCACCTGCGGTCTAGCCATGCAAATCGCGCACGCACATCAGATGCGTTTCACTCCATCCGCCCCACGAACAGCTGTCCGACCTGCCTGGTGCCAACGCTAAACCACCGACTACATCTAGCCCGTATCTGGAGCCTACGACTGTGGCAGATAAATCTATCTAGACCGGGGCCCGATAACGGCTTCTGTTATCAGTTAACGCCAGTCTCATCCGGGCGGCGAGCCGAGGCCCTATTTACGCGCACAATACGTGGCGCTGAGAAAAGCACATACGGCGTGACCATAAGATAAATGTAACGGAGGGGGGAGATAGCGGTATTAGACCGGTGTTTGAGGCGACAGGAAAACGAAAAACACCAGTGAAAGCAATAATTCGAAGTGAAATAGAAGACCTGAAAAAGGAAAGGCATGAAAAACAAAGTATATACATACAGAAAAAACGGAAACGAGATAAGAGAGCGAGGGGGAGCAACGCAGATAGAACACGAGCGCGGCTGGGGAGGGAGGAGGGGGAGGGGAAGAGGAGGGAGGAGGGGAGGGAGGCGGAGGGGAGGGGGACCTCTCGACTACACAGCGCACCTGCCACACCTGGATGTAGCAGCAGCTGCCCCCTCTACCCTGAGAAGCGGCTTCACCACGCTGTGTCCGCTTTCTTCCCTCCCCTCCCCATCCCTCCCCTCCCCTCCGCGTCCCTCCAATCACCGTCACATAAAAGCAACACCTCCCTTCAAGATATATATTCGCCCTGCATATGTTGTATACTTTCGTTAGAGACACGAGAACCCTTTAGTCTTTCTCATCTTAAAAACGGATTCTCCAGCAAAATCAAACATCAACAGAAACAAAATCCTATCTGACAATCATTGCATAAGCGTCTGCAACGTGCACTCATAACAATACCACTTCAACCGGCATTGGCTGTAGCAGATCCCCGAACAAATGTCAACCACGCCTCCTAGCCCGGCTCTAAATCCTAAAGCAGAAAGGCTGAATAATCACGAAATAAATAGTTTACGACCCCCACCTACACCCTCGTCCACGCTCCACCTATCTCTTCCTCCATCAACCCTTCGTCAGTCCACTCCAAATCATACGTTATGCGTCTCTCCCTGGTGCGGGCGCGGCAACCAAGACACGCGGGCGATGGACTGCCTCGCACGCAGCATCTTGAGTACCGTATTCACACAGGCGTCCCTTCAGCACGTGCGGGGCTTCGCCAGAGCGGGGTCACGTGACTTGGGATTGCGTCATCAGCAGCCGCGTGGGACCCGCGCTCCTTCTGCACGTGCACCCGTTCTGCGGTCAGTCTGAGCCCTGCCTTGCGCCCTCACCCCAAAGGCGAAGTAAACAGCCAATTTCCCCCAACTGGTCATCCCATGTCTTTTTCGAAGGAAGGAAACTATGCCAACAAAAAATATTTTTCCTTACTAGTGTTCACGTTAGACTGATTATAAAAATGTCTTCGATGTGTCCTACTTCTGATAATGCGTCTATAAACACTCCTGAGTCTTCGTCTAGTAAATTATTTGTTAATCTTCCAATTGCTAAAAGTTTAGAGTGCAGCAGATTATGAACATAACAGCTAGATACAAGATTAGCTCCTGTAAAACCTGATCATAAAGATTACTTCCCCTATTACAAAATATATGTACTCTTAACTTTAATGGCAATACAATGATTTGCGGAATTGAAGGTAATAACATCCCAACCCCTTAAAACGAACAATGCAAAAGTTTAGGAGCTCTCATCCAAATCAAACCTAATGACATACTTAGCCATTCAATTTATCTTAAAGGAAAAGAGGCAGTAACAGTGACTGCAACCCAGAAGCAATACCGAAGGGTCTGGGCAGTGCCGGACCCTCCCGAGCTCAGGCGACCGGACGCCGTAGAGCTGCCAGCGATAGGCGTGCATCTTGTGCCCTCTGCGGGCGCTGAGGGAGAGGAAAAGGAGACGGCGGCGCGGCTTGGGTACTCACCTGGAGATGAGCGTTGG